TTTTTCTCTTGTTTTCTTTCATTTGCTTATTTTTAACCACTAACAGAGCAATGGGATTCCCAACCTTTTTCAAAACCCCAAATGGTTGGTTATGGCTCTTCTTCTGTTAGCCTATTCTATTCTCAGACACACTTCCTCATCACTTATTAGCTACTAAAGTTGACCATATAATAATTTGTTCAGTTTGGTCTTATTTTGAAGCAATGATTCATATTACCGTTAGTCGTTCACGCACTAGTGAGACTACTCTCAACCGTTAATGCATTGTGAGCTGGTTGGGAGTGATTCATTCACCTCGTGAGTGATTGACCCTAGCAAAACTCTTGTTGGTAATCCTTATCAAATTCTGAATTGTCATTGAAATGTATATTACCAGGAGATACAAAACTGAAAACAAACAGAAGCTCAAAAGAATTGAATTGTTTGAAAGAAAGAATAAAAAATTTGAATTATTTTGTTCTTTTTCCAGACAGCCGGCACTAGAAAGGATCCACAACTGTCCTCCTGTAGTAAGCATTCAAAAATGTGTTTTTTCTTTGCCTTGGGTCCGGACTCCAAAATGTACATTTAAATACAACCACAGCAAAGATTTTAAGAGTTTGATATGTCAAGACACCCCCCACCCCACTTGGATTGGATTGGACATGACCTGCCCCAAATCCAACTCCACAAGCTCTTATTCTCCATACCCAAGTTTAACTCTTGAATCACCAAATAACCAAGATATTGACATTATGCAGAGACAAATTCTGTCACAAATCATATTGAAAAGCAAAGAATAGCCACAAATTCCATATGAATATGAGCCCACAACCCTAAATCCAGGATGTTTGAGCTTTCTGATTGGTTCAAGGATTGACATGTAGAGCCTCTCTGGCTCTACTATTGGGGCATCCTTGCCTGGCATCCCACCAGCACCAAGAATTGCAACAGCAGCTAAGCAGCTTCCAGCAAACCTCTATTGGAAGTCATTTTAGAGACAACCTTTAGAGAGGATTTTTGGGTGGAGGAATTCCCAGCCCACTAGCTTATGTGCCCTTGTGCTGAAAACATAGGAGGCCCTGCATAATGATGGTGCTCTTGAAAGATAAAACAAAATTTATACTTCTATATCAGGAAACCTTTTCAAAGCTACATAAACAAAAAAATCTCGAAACCCCACTTTCTTCTCTGGGCTCCTCCATTTGTGATTGTGGAAGCATCAGAGGCCCCCTTAAACATTAGGTGGGCATCACCCACTTCAGGGAAAAGAAGAAATTGTAGCCACATTCTCATTCATATTGAACGGTGCTACGAAACTCGGTGCCCGTACACAGAAAAAATAAAATAAAAAATGGAACAAGAAACTCCTGTGATTCCCCAGCTACATCCAAATTACACTTTTCATTCACTTGTATTCCATATTCGAGCATATAGGTTCGAGAATTTAAAGAAGGATTAAATTAACAAATTGATAATCCGTCACTTGTTACATATAAGTTACAGAGAAAAGTATGTGTGGCTTTTTGGAGGTCAGGTACAGAGTTATATATCATGTTTATAATACACAGGTTTTTTACGAAACTTGCAATGACGGTGACCCAGCCACCATAAGTATTGGGGTCTATTTGGCTGTTGATGAATCACCAGATCTTAGTTCCCTTTCAAGCTCGTCGAATTCCCAGTCACCAATCTCTTCTGCCGAGTAGTCTTGACCAACCTTGCCAAACTCCGATTCCAGCTTTGCTAGTTCTGCTTCAGTGTCATGCATTTGCTCTGCCTTCACTGCACCTGACCCAGGATGCTTATCTGTATCAGCTTTCTGCGCTCCTGTGCTCTCTGTTGGGAGAGTAAATGGACCACTCTGCGGCTTCGTTTCTGATTTTGGGGTTGGATTCTCCAGTTGTAGATTTGGTCTCTCAATAGCTTCAAATTGCTCCCTTAATTTTTCAATATCATCAAACAGCTCCTTAACCCTAGGGTCATCTTTCCTGGAACAGGCAAGCAAAGTACATCATATTCAGGGGGTTTGGTGAATATCTTCAGACATAGTGTACAAAGGAAAAGAGATAATTCATACACCCTCACAAGTTCATACCTGGAAATTTCAGCTCGTGGGCCATAAAACTGCTCCTTGATGTTATCTACGACACTAAAGGTGGTAATAATCTGGAGCAAACCAACAATATCAATGTTTGTGCTTGTTAGCATATAAATGTCACACTACAACACAAACAGAATAGAGCACATTATAGGACCAAGAAAGCATTAGACACATAATTGAAGCATCCCTAATTCATTACTTTTTACAGACTACTTGCAAAAGAAATTTTGGATCATACATGATATGCAAAAATAAGACTTTGACAGAGAATATATATATCCATCCATCCTGACTCGTTTATTCATTTTTTTCTTTTTTGAAATTTCACATGCTAGGAACTGTAACCAATACTCTCACTTTGGGAAACTGAGCAGAACATTTAAGTATAAAGGTCACTCCTTTCAGATAGCAGAAAAACCACAATGTGCTGATAAGGAGAGATCTATGATTATGTTGAACTCAGAGTTTTTCACAACATTTTTTTACCTTGGTTTCGTGGTCCAAATATTCCTCCTCAAGATTATTTATTGGATTTAATACTTTAGAACCCTCGCTTTCTGCAGTAGATGCCATCCTTGACCTGTCTCGACAGGTCAAAAGAAATTAAGAACAAAGAACATTTTTTTACCTTGGTTTCATGGTCCAAATATTCCTCCTCAAGATTATTTATTGGATTTAATACTTTAGAACCCTCGCTTTCTGCAGTAGATGCCATCCTTGACCTGTCTCGACAGGTCAAAAGAAATTAAGAACAAAGCAAGTAAAATGAAGGTGCAACCATCACAGTGCAACAAACAACATTACCCCTCGCTCAAATTCTTTAGGTTCTCTACAAATTTCCCTATACGACTGATAGAAGGCCCCAACTCTTTCTGCATAAAAGATAAAAGGTGTGCCTCAAGAGTATCAAAAGAGTTATAGATAGATAGACAGACAGACAGACAGACAGATATATATATATATATATATATATATATATTATTTCGGCCGTGACTGGCCGTTCTTTTTCGTAAGTAATGCCCCTTTTTATCTAAACGTGAGGCAAGGGCCTTCTTTTTCTGAAAAATTAAATGTATACTTTCTTCTCTGTATGTTGGCCGCGCCCTTTGTTCGGCCTGTTTGCCTACTTCCTTTTTTTTTTTTCTTGACTTTTTTGTCGTAGGTTCTCGGCACCATTTTCTTTTGAACTTGCGCCGAGTCGTAGGCGTCGAGTTTCACCTATCCTGAATTCTCTGAACTCCTGGGCACTATCTGCGAGCAGTTCTTCCTTCGACTATGTTGCTTGACATCCTGAAGAATTTGAACCACTAGTTTTAATAATTTACCAGTGTCACGGCCGTTGGCCGAGACCTACCACATCCATAACATGGATTTACAAAGATCATGAACCAAAAAGAAAGCTTTTACTCGAAGGAGAAAAATGGAATGGAGATGGTATATGCACTCAAAATTAGCTTCCCACACTCACACATGAAAATGCAAGAAGCTTCTTTTGAGTGCAAATAATATTTCCCGAAAGAATAAAGAAGCTAGTAAAAACATTTTGACATATTTCAAACTTGATAAGAATGCAATTACACACTAAAGACCTCTCTACAGAAATGTGAGTACAAACTTCATGTCGTTACATTTATAGGTAAGTAATGTTGAAGAACAATACCTTCTCTCTTTCACTCACTTCACTTGCTCTGGCTACACGAACTTTTAGTGCCTCCTCCTTTTGAAGTCTGTCATTCATAAGGAACAAAGAAAGTAATTTTGTTTTCCCTAAACCTGGCATCTAATAACAATAATAGATCAAGCACAGACTACACGTCATTACTTTTAATCAAATCAATGGTTTTCACTGGAACTACACAGTTACAAAAAGCAAGGCTTACTGAACCTTTCTATGGATACACCAAGCCAAATCATATAAACTTTCTTTTTACTGTTTTAACATTTTCCAAGAGTTTTTTTATTTTTTTAGAAGAACATTTTACAATAGTATTTTTAGACAACAGGAAGTATATTAATGAACACACATATTACAAGAAAAAACACGTTACATTTATAGGTAAGTAATGTTGAAGAACAATACCTTCTCTCTTTCACTCACTTCACTTGCTCTGGCTACACGAACTTTTAGTGCCTCCTCCTTTTGAAGTCTGTCATTCATAAGGAACAAAGAAAGTAATTTTGTTTTCCCTAAACCTGGCATCTAATAACAATAATAGATCAAGCACAGACTACACGTCATTACTTTTAATCAAATCAATGGTTTTCACTGGAACTACACAGTTACAAAAAGCAAGGCTTACTGAACCTTTCTATGGATACACCAAGCCAAATCATATAAACTTTCTTTTTACTGTTTTAACATTTTCCAAGAGTTTTTTTATTTTTTTAGAAGAACATTTTACAATAGTATTTTTAGACAACAGGAAGTATATTAATGAACACACATATTACAAGAAAAAACAATGTAACAACACGATTTAATACTAAAGAAAAGCAACATAAAACAAATGGTTCCAAAGTTGTTACACCTGTGATCTGAAATACGATTTTCAGCTTTTGCAGAGGAGCTAGCCAGAGATTCTGACAAGACCTTCAATTTATCAACCTGCTTATACAACAAAAATAACATCGGTCACAGGAGCTTTGTACCTTGAAAGGAAATCAGCATTTTCTGGGTGCACAAGCAACAATCAAAGGATCGAGTTGCACTTAACTCAGAAAATATACAAAGCAGAGATTACCAGCAAATACAAGATTGAAGCAAAAGGGAAAAGAATCAGACACAGCATAGTCAAGGATGATTTTGTCGTCAAACCATGTAACTAAGTAAGAATCGTGTTTTGGATCGCATCATAAACAAGGTCCCATAAGGCATAGATTTATTGAACAAGACACAAAAAGTAAACCTTTCACACATTGTGAATCAACAAACAAGCTCCTAGGACTAAACATATATAGTTGCAACCCCATAACTAAATTGAAGGATTTGCAGCATCTAGCAGCCCATGTCCATGCTAAATAGACACTTTTTCAACATCTTCAGCAAAAAGCTTGACTGTCACAAGGACCGCATGACACTGTTAAAACCCTCAAATCAAACAGCATGAAGGTCACCAGAAATAAAGGCAAGATGCTGCCAACAAATTTAAAACCATGCTTTCAGATGCATAACCAAATGATAGCAGGCAGACCGAGAAATACGTACTTTTTGAGCATGGATCTCAGGAGAATCTCCATTGTTCAACAACTTTTTCTTCAGTAAAAGCCCTTCTAATCTGGAACAAGCTCGAACTTGTGCAAGTGCTTCTTTTAATGCCTACCAGAACTTAGGGCTGTCAGATCCATATTTCCATAATTTTCATACTCATTTAAATGTTAAAGAACTTTCATGCTTATGTAAACATTAGCCAATTTAACTCATTAAAATTCCATCATAGAGCCATTAGTCTTCTACTTGATGGTATTTGACATCTCTTTGGCACAGTGGTACTTATACCATGAGGCACACCAAAAAATTATAATGACAGCCATCCTCACCTCTATTGTTTCCAATTTTGTTTCTTCTGATGCTTTGTCATGACCTTCAGTTGAAGGCTTCAGAGGGGTGGTCGTTGTGTCAAGCTTCTTCCTTAGACTAGAGACTTCTTCATCTATTCTGTAACAAGATACATTTAAACAGGTAAGAAGAAATTTTTTGGCCCATGATTGAAGCTTGACTGTCACAAGGACCGCATGACACTGTTAAAACCCTCAAATCAAAGCATGAAGGTCACCAGAAATAAAGGCAAGATGCTGCCAACAAATTTAAAACCATGCTTTCAGATGCATAACCAAATGATAACAGGCAGACCAAGAAATACGTACTTTTTGAGCATGGATCTCAGCAGAATCTCCATTGTTCAACAACTTTTTCTTCAGTAAAAGCCCTTCTAATCTGGAACAAGCTCGAACTTGTGCAAGTGCTTCTTTTAATGCCTACCAGAACTTAGGGCTGTCAGATCCATATTTCCATAATTTTCATACTCATTTAAATGTTAAAGAACTTTCATGCTTATGTAAACATTAGCCAATTTAACTCATTAAAATTCCATCATAGAGCCATTAGTCTTCTACTTGATGGTATTTGACATCTCTTTGGCACAGTGGTACTTATACCATGAGGCACACCAAAAAATTATAATGACAGCCATCCTCACCTCTATTGTTTCCAATTTTGTTTCTTCTGATGCTTTGTCATGACCTTCAGTTGAAGGCTTCAGAGGGGTGGTCGTTGTGTCAAGCTTCTTCCTTAGACTAGAGACTTCTTCATCTATTCTGTAACAAGATACATTTAAACAGGTAAGAAGAAATTTTTTGGCCCATGATTGAAGCCTAGCATCATACTTTTACACCTTTTCCTACCACTATGAATAATTAAATCTCTAAGGTCGCCAGCTACAAAAAATTTATAGGAACGAAAGACAAATTTATTTGCATAAGCATATATCGAGCAAGTGCCAGCACTAAACCATATCTAAACAAGAAGGGAAACACACTTCCTATTCTTCATTATAAAAAAAAAAAAAGGAGATTAACATCTATAAGATCAGAGTTTATCATGATCAATTATCAACTGGTAAATAAAACTAGGTTATGTAGACATGACATGTTACTCATGAAATTGCTATTAGCTTAATGCCTCCCGAGGGCGCACGCACACACACACACACACATATATATATATATAGGGAGAAAGAGAGAGAGAGAGAGAGAGAGAGAGAGAGAGAGAGAGAGAGAGAGAGAGAGAGAGAGAGAGAGAGAGAGAGAGAGAGAGAGAGAGAGAGAGAGAGAGAGAGAGAGAGAGAGAGAGAGAGAGAGAGAGAGAGAGAGAGAGAGAGAGAGAGAGAGAGAGAGAGAGAGAGAGAGAGAGAGAGAGAGAGAGAGAGAGAGAGAGAGAGAGAGAGAGAGAGAGAGAGAGAGAGAGAGAGAGAGAGAGAGAGAGAGAGAGAGAGAGAGAGAGAGAGAGAGAGAGAGAGAGAGAGAGAGAGAGAGAGAGAGAGAGAGAGAGAGAGAGAGAGAGAGAGAGAGAGAGAGAGAGAGAGAGAGAGAGAGAGAGAGAGAGAGAGAGAGAGAGAGAGAGAGAGAGAGAGAGAGAGAGAGAGAGAGAGAGAGAGAGAGAGAGAGAGAGAGAGAGAGAGAGAGAGAGAGAGAGAGAGAGAGAGAGAGAGAGAGAGAGAGAGAGAGAGTCTGTTATTTTTTGCACACCTTATGACATCAGCATTAATCTTTAACCCCGTAATTGCACCTTGTGCAAATTGGAGCAATTCCTCCCGTTTTACCTGAATACAAAGGAAAACGATGTACCAGTATGAGCCAAAAGAAGAACAAGTCTTGCATGAATTGAATGTAGTACTCAATACTCCCATTTGCTTATGTAAATCAGTTAGAGCTATATACTACACTTTAGTGGATCACGGAAAAAAAATGTTACATGAAAATTCCCAAAGGGAAAAGAATGATAACGGATTATATCTATATAAACTTTATGGAAAATATATATCAAAATTTCTCCAGAACTTCACATTTGTTGATATGATCTTTAAGAGCACTTTTTTATGCCCTTACCAATACTTCATCTTCATAGCTTGAAAAGGCTTTTTCCAGATCTTGTATACTGCTCACTATTGCATTATGAACTTCTTTTCCTCCAGTAAGACAGAGCCTGCAGTTTCATATAATATTAAGATTTTTTTTAAAAGGTCCCAGTATGGCTAACCCGAGTAAAGAATACTGGCACTTAATAGCTCACGAGCATGCATTACACACGAGTACAGTCTTGCTTCTCACCTAAACATCTCCATCAGCAGGGCAACCTCTTCATCATTTGGACCTTCAAGAATCTGAAGCATAGAAAAGAGTTAAAAACATCTCCATCAGCAGGGCAACCTCTTCATCATTCGGACCTTCAAGAATCTGAAGCATAGAAAAGAGTTAACCTGCGGTTAACTTTCATAATCAGCAATTTCAAATTATATAAGATTATTTACATTCATTCCAGTTTTAGAGGTGTTAGGTGTTTGATGGTAGCTATAAGTTTCCTCATCATCCTTTTTCCTTCCTTGATTAAGAAAAATCCACCTGGTTTGATTACAGACGGAAACACTACAGGTTTCAAAAACCAAGTGCATATGTGGCAGTGTCTAAGAAAAACCAAAGGCAGGTTGCTCAACAAAATCATTTCCAACTTTGATCATTTTTCCACGATGCTTTCATTAAGTGCTACCCCCTAACTTATGAAACAAGCATTCGCTTCATGTAGAACATCAAGGTCATCCATTTTAACATCATTGGTTTGGTGAGCTAATTCTAAAGCATCATTAGTTTAAAAAAGAAAAATAAAATAAAAACCCATTTGACATAGTTCATTTCAATGATATTTTCATTTCTCAAAGACATACCATAGACAGTGTTATGCCCTCCAGAGCCTGACTTTGAAGAAACACTTCGCGGAAAGTCATGGGTTCACCGCCAACATCAGAGTCATAGTACAAAACCTATTCACATTATCAAAAAGTATAAGATTCCACTGCAAACTAGACTACAATGAACCCGAAAAAGCTGAAAGAAATGAGGTAAAAATTGAACCAGAGATATTCTTCTTCGAATATCGTTGGCGTCCTCAGAAGCAGTAGGTTGCTCGACTGCGTTGTCTTTTTCTTCCACAGAACCCGGAGAAAGCTTCAGTCTCTCGACCTCTCTGAGCATAATCACCCACCTTCTCAGTATCTCAAGTCTTTCAGCCCCCCCGCAAGAGACAGCTGCTTCTTCCAATCTCTGGATACTCTTCTTAACACTTTTAAAACTACGAGCTCCCTGTAAATCAGATGAAGAGAAAATGTACTTGTAATATTTTATTTTCGGTGTTGAATGAGAAAACTGGTGGAAATTTTGAAATTACCATACGGTCCTGAAAGCGTTTGGCGCCTTCGGCTACGGCTTGGCCGGCATGCTGGACGACGGAGTCGGCATAGTTCTTGACGGTCCGAGTGAGGTTGTTCTTGTTCCCAGCCTCCACGGCTTTGCTCACAGCCGATCTTATCCACGACATTTTCTCTTGACTTTTTTTTTCTCAGCTAAAAAAAATTCAGAAATTTTCTAAAACAAAGCTGAAAGTTTCTGGTTTTGGTTTTTTAGAGAGAGAGAGAGATCGATGAAGGCTTAGGGTTTGGGTTTGGGGAGTTTGGGGTTTGGGGTTTAGGAAAAATGGGGGAAGGATTGGGGATTGTTTGGGAGAGCCATTTCCAGTTGCCACAGAGAAGAAGAGAGGATGAAACAGTCAGCGTTACGTTGCCACGTTTCTGGATTTAAGCGCCGTCGTTTTGAGGCATTTGGGTGCTGTCCTTGGTTTAAATGTACCAGTCCAGACAAACTACCAGTCTACTTCTAGCTTAACACTTTATTCCTTTTATTTTCTTTATTTTCTGGAGTTTATTACTTATTTTCTATTTGAGTTTTTTTATTTGCAAAGTCAATTGAGTAATTGATTTTTACATTGACGTAATTTATCAAAGTCAATGAGTTTAATTGTTTTGATTTGCAAAGTTAAGTGGTTGAAGAGTAGTTACCTTGAATTGACAACAATAAAAAAGAGTAATTACTCAAGTAATGCTGTTCTTATCGTATTTGTATACTATATTCTCATATCATGCAGATAAAGCGAATATCAATATCAATTAAAAGGTGTCAATAAATTATAAAAGAAAAGAAAATATTAAATTAATTTTAATTTATATTATCCACCTCATCATCTGCCACATAAAATAGTGTGAGAATGTGATATACAGTAAAGAGTAATATTATTCTAATTACCCTTCATCCGAAATATATATTCGAACATTCATCCTTTGATATTGCTCGTATAAAATAAAATAAAATATTGATTTTTTCGGATATTAAAAAGGTTTATGGAAAGGTATGGGTAAGGTGCAATGGACCTTTCTGAATTTTATTGAGCCTATTCTTTTCAAGTTTGATAGACGGCGGCCCACCGCTGTCAACTTTGGAACCAAAGTCCAATTCTTTTATTGGGCCCGAAACAGAAAAACATCTTTTATAGTACTGAGAAATAGTAAAGGGCCCAAACACGATCTGCCTGCCCAACCGTAACTCTACATTTGCTCAGGACACCCAGAATTATTTCAAAAGCAAAATTACAAAAAACCTCCTCATAGTGAAGGCCCAAACACGATCTGCCTGCCCAACCATAACTCTACATTTACTCAGGACACCCAGAACTATTTCAAAAGCAAAATTACAAAAAACCTCCTCCTCCTCTATCAGCTTCCCCTCAACACTTGTCAGTCATGCACGACCTCTGATTTAATCAGCCGGCCTCATGGCGATCATGCATCAAATCCATTTTTCTTAAAATGCCATTGAGAGAGAAATATGACTAATGGTTAAATTTTCAAAAATCTCTTAAAATACAATTTCTTAATCAAACACTAAAAACGAAAATATTTACCATATGAACGTAAAGTAATAAAAGCGAAACAATAAAATAATTTAAAATCAGCTTCCCCTCAACACTTGTCAGTCATGCACGACCTCTGATTTAATCAGGCGGCCTCAAGGCGATCATGCATCAAATCCATCTTTCTTAAAATGCCACTAAAAACGAAAATATTTACGATATGAACGTAAAGTAATAAAAGGGAAACAATAAAATAAGGCTTTTTATCACAAATGGTCCTTGAGGTTTGTGAAATTATCGTTTTTCGTCCTTAACATTTTTTTGTGACATTAATGGTCCTTAAGGTTATACTCAACACATCAAAATGGTCATTGCCGTCAACTTCAGTTAAATTTTCTGTTAAGAAGCTGACATGGCATATATGTAGGTCACACATCCAATAATATATAGCCATGTGGCTTTAAATAAGACCTATCTCTCGGTCACCAACTACTCTATGAGTTGGTAATTCACTTATATCATCTTAAACATCACATCCTTTCGTGGAAACGAGCATTTCTACTCATGAGTACTTCTTTCTATTAAAACATCAAAAATTTATTAGAAATAAAGTGCTTTTTTTAAATTTAAAAAAAAAAAGGGCCAGAATCACTTATAGGGTGAAGTATTTCTTCTCCATACGTGCTTCTCCTAAAGTAATTATATGGAGATTCCAAACGAAAGTTTTCTACCAACGCAAAACATATGCGTTTTCTGTTAGGAGAAGCCATTTTTAACCATTTCATAACCACTCCCAAACAAACCCTACACTTTTTCTTTTTTTTTTTTGTGACGAAAACCCTACACTAAATTTTATGGACACCAAAGAGGCCTAACAAGTTGGTATGGGTTGTGGTGACTTGCCCTCTTGAATGACCGGTAAAACTTCCCTCCACGTTTTGAGACACTCTGCTTTCCCACGTGCACATCTACACTCCCTGACCTTCCTACTTAACCACCCAACCTAGTCCTAACGACTCCGAACGCTCTACAAAAACCCCTGAAATCCTTCACTGGTACAGCTCCCAATTTAATCGCACCGTTTCGTACAACAAGTCCATCTCCATCGCCACACAAAAGCGTAACAAAGACTACCCAATGGCTGCACTACCAAATCCCACCGGACTTCAGATCGAGGCGACGTCGTTTCCACCGTCAGTCAAACCCCCAGGCTCAGCCAACACTCTGTTCCTCGGCGGCGCAGGTTCGTAAATGGTCGTCCGTACTTAATTTGTCCAGCTAATTGTTTGTTGATTTTGGTTTTGATTGGCTGTGTGTTTGCTAATGTGCGCAGGGGTGAGGGGGCTGGAGATTCAGGGGAACTTCGTGAAGTTCACGGCGATTGGCGTGTACTTGGAGGAGAAGGCCGTGCCTCTGCTCGCCGTTAAGTGGAAGGGCAAGACCGCCCAGGAGCTGACGGAGTCCGTTGAGTTCTTCAGAGAGATCGTTACAGGTAACGGACTTCCTAAAACACGTGCTTAAAGCTTTGACTAGTATTTAATTTGACAGACAATTCAAAGGTTGTTATTTCATGTCTTAGCATCATGCTGCACTTAGCATAGGTTGAATTGAAATGCCTGATATTGTGATCCAATTTGAGCTAAAACTTGTTCACTCCATTACTACCAGAGAGAATGCAAAATTTTAGCTGATTTAATTTATCATGGCTTTTTTGTGGTCAATTTGACTAAAACCAATCAGAATTTCATAAAATTAGTTAGGGTTAATGTGTTACTCTGTATGAAAAAAAAAACAAAAACAAAAACAAAACTTGAGGCACAAGTTATAATCTTGATTATCCTTTCATAGGTCCATTTGAGAAATTCACACAGGTGACAACGATACTGCCACTAACCGGCCAGCAATACTCGGAGAAGGTTTCCGAGAATTGCGTTGCGATTTGGAAATCAATCGGAATTTACACTGATGCAGAAGCCAAGGCCATTGAGAAGTTCCTTGAGGTCTTCAAGGATCAAAACTTCCCACCTGGCGCCTCGATCCTTTTCACACAATCTCCCAAAGGATCATTAACGGTTAGTACTACTAAACTTTTGTATTTTTTTTAAGGGTTGAGTTTGTATTTTGCATCTGAGTTTTGACATCTTTGTTTGATCTCTTTCATTGCTACAGATTAGCTTCTCCAAAGATGCATCCGTACCAGAAGCTGGGAACGTGGTGATCGAAAACAAACTGCTTTCGGAGGCAGTTCTAGAGTCGATCATCGGAAAGCACGGCGTTTCTCCTGGAGCAAGGCAGAGTGTAGCTGCGAGGTTATCTGAATTGTTGAAGTACAGTTGTCATAATGAGGCCGGAAATGGGAAATTGGAAACCCAGGTGTAGAAGATAAATGATTAATGTTCTATGGAAACTGAGAGAGGAGAAATAAAAGTTTCTGAGTGATGTTATTCTGTATTTTGTGAATTATCTACATATAATCTATGAAGCTACGAAAGTGCTCTGTCTTCGTTTAATTTTAAGAAAATGGTCATTATTTATGAGAAGTAACAGTGTTGTTTTGTCGTGCTTAATTTTAAAATGGCTGAAGTTTACAATGATGGCTTCGGTGTTTCTTAATGAAATAGGAGATAACTTCAAGAAATTGTCACTGCTACTTGCTCTTTTATCACCCACATTAACCAAATCAAATCTAACTTCACAACCAAGACACCCCTCAGTTTCTTCTCTCAGAAATTCAATCTCAATTTTCAAACTCATACAATCTCTATGAATAAAAATTTATGGGCACCGGTGCTTCTCCTGGCATTTCATTTGTTCACCGCTTATTCTCAGCGTAAGTAACTTGCTTGCAACTTTTTATCTGTTTGATATTTGATATGTTATGTTGTTAAACTCTCGATTTTGCTTGAACACAAATTTTTACTTATCACTTTCAACCTTTTCAGTCACAATTGATTGGTTGAACATTGACTGCGGTAACAATGCTCTACGTTGGGATAAAAACTTGCTCCAATGGGTCACAGACAATGGCTACACCCAAGCAGGCATCAACAAGCAAGTTCCACAAAAGCAAGAACTTGAAGAGATGAACACCCTCCGATCCTTCCCTAACAAGGCACAACAAAACTGCTATGCTTTACCTTTCAGTGCGCAAACCCAACGGTTCTTGGTCAGGGCAGGCTTCTACTACGGCAACTACGATGGTCTCTCGAAGCCTCCTTCGTTTGATATTCATATCAACGGTAGAAATTGGTCAACGGTCAACACATCAACGGTGGTGGAAGGGCCAATATACCATGAAGCCATGTATGTTAATCAAGGAGCAGGATCTCTTAATGTGTGTATTGTGCAGGATGAGAGTGAAGTGGTTCCCTTTATATCTTCAATAGAAGCTGTTCCAATTTGGGTTCTAACCGGTCCATTTTACCGTGAGATGGAGACCAACTACGCTTATAATCTAGTATCTAGGATTAACTATGGTGGTGGAGAAGTAAGGTACATTTCTCTAATTATTCGATCGCTATTTATCATCTGTACAATCGTCCACACTCACGTGAATAGATGTTACAATTAATACACCAACGAACAATAATACCTCACACGTTGTCTACTTTATTGGATTATGATATCATATTCGCTTAAACAAAAAGAAACATTATTAGGACCCGGCATTTTTCTTTTCATATCCAACATTTTTTTTTTTGCCATTTTTGATTGCAAGATATGTTAGAGCATCCACAGTGGGGGGGTGTAAAGCCACTTTTACATCCCCTTACACCTCCGGGGGGTGTAAATATGTTTTTTGCTCCAGTAGGGGGGTGTAAATTCGGGGGTGTAGCCATGGGTCCCAGCCTTTTATGTTGACTTTTCTTCATTTTTCTTCTCTTTTCTCGGGTGAGTCCCGCCTACAAGGGATGTAAAAATGGATGTAAATATACATTTTATTTTACATCCCCATGGTGGTGATGTATATTTACATTCATTTACATATCACCATTGGAGACCATTCCGATGACTTGGAGTGTATATTTAACATACACCCCTATATACACCCCCCACCCCTATATACACCCCCCACTGTGGATGCTCTTAGATTTTGATTGAGAATGTACAGATATTGCTGAATGTAGGTTCCCAGGGGGTGAGGAAATGTACAACCGAGTATGGACACGGGGAACAACGCCACCAAACTGCACCGAAGTCGCTACCTTGCCAGCTTTCTTACCTGTTCCAGAAAATGACCCTCCCAATTCTGTGTTGAGCGACTCCATTGAATCAATGAACCCTGCTGATCCAATTACCTTGTCCATTCATCTCCCACAGACGACCCCACAATCAGCCTACATTGTGCTCTATTTCACCGAAACGGTAACCATCCCCAAACCAGACGACACCAGGATAATTCAGATATACATCAACGGCCAGATGAAGTCCACGGTGACAACTGAGAACATCGAATGTAAGGTGATGACCATATACCCTGTGACTGTTGTGGGCCCTACGATCAATGTGACATTGGCCTCAGCAAAAGGGTCAACCCTACCTCCCATAATCAGCGCCATGGAAGTGTTCACAAGAATAGAGGCCAACAAGGGTGATAAGAGTTCTTCTCCTCCCCCTTCCAGTCCCTCTCATGGCACACAAGGACACTTCTTTTATGCATACATTAATTCCATTTCTTGTATTTGCTTGCTTCTTCTATTCATAGCCTGACAATGTTGAATTAATGTCCACAAGGGACCATATCTTTATTTTTCCTTTTTGGTTTTGAAGTAATAAAGTTGTCAAATTGTCATTATACCATAATTACAAGAGTTGTCATTGTCTTTGATATGTACATTGGGGTCAAAATAAGGATGCGATTTGTCTTTTCTAGCTTAACGAAAGTAAATGTTTATAATAATCATTCACATATGTGTAAACAACTATCAGTCGTTAATTAAATATTTTATTAATCGATAACTAAGAATCATCGACGGATCAAATGCGTGGCAATTAACGAAGCTACTTCACATATACATGTCATTGTTTACCAAAGTAATAGTCAAGGTGCAAAACTTGATACACCTACAACTTGCCAAAACTTGGTCAATGGCGTAGGTTATGGAGCTAGGTTTTTATTGACGTTGGTTAGGGTTTAGTAGAGGGAGGGGTCCATGTAAAAGTTTTGAGATTTTGCCCTTTGGGGTTCTAGTTCTAGAAACATACCTCATTGAATTTGCTATTTGAGACTATGAGAGTTATGCGTAGAACAACCGTGAATGAGCATCACCGTTTAATCTATGTTAAATTTATTAGAAGAGTTGCACTGATCAACAATTAAGAGATTATAAAATATTATACAAAGGATGATATTCCGATACTCTCAATATTATTTTGCTAACAAAAAATTATCCACATGAAGCCCAACAGTTAACAAAATTCAGTCCCATTTGGGCCATTCAATCAATATCCAACACCACTTAACCAAAACCGGGCACCGAACTCAGAATCCCACCAAAATCTTGTATCGTAGAACTCCCCCCCACACTAATAAAGTGGTTGGGGAAAACGCGTAATTAAGCACACAGCTGACAACGACTACGACTGTAACAATGTTCTTTTTTGAACAAACCCGGCACGAAATATTCCCCCACAGAACCATCACACGAACCTTCATCTCATCTCTCTCTCTCTCTCTCTCTCTCTCTCTCTCATGGGACCTAACGTATATATTTTCCAATCCAAAAAGTGAGCCACCCATAATAGCTGTCATCAACTTTGCTCCATTATGTTGTCTGTTCAGACATTTTTTCCTTCTTTATCTCTATCCACTATGTTCTCTACTTCAAATTTGTGATTTTGTTTGCAGTTCTATGAATTTGTCAAACAGGACGTAGAGAAAATAATAAACAAGGGCTGTGTTTGTTGCAGTCAATGTGGTCTTGCCACGTTTGTTTCTGTGCACATTGTGTTCATGTTCTCATTTATTTGGTCCACCAAGTTGAGGAACTCACGTCAGTGAGACACTGAGCATTTTGTAGTTGATTTTCACACTTGGGTTTTTATTCAGTTTCAAGAACCTTCATGTGCTTCTTCAACATTGATGTGATCAGGTGATTTCAAGCTGACCCTTTTGGTTATTTTCTTAATTTATTGGTTATCTTTGTTGGGTTCTTTTTGTATTGGTGTTGTGAGGAAAGAGATAGGACATTGATTTTGTGCCGTTCCTTATTCTAATCTGAGCCTTGTCCCTTCTGAAACCTGTTTCCTGAGTTTTGCTTGCATGTAGCAACTTGCTTTTCATGATCACCCACTATCAATTACAAGTTGCAACTTTCTAATTTGTGATCTAAGCTTTGCCCATTTGAGTCTTGTTATAAGCCTCAGCTTTGCTTCAAGATCCCATCTCTCTTATCTTCAATCCTGGTTATGATGGCTGGTGGGACTATCAGATTGCTTATAGGGGTTTCTTCAATTTTGTATCTGATATGTGGTTCATTGGGATTTAATCCAGTGGATAAACATCTGATAACCTGTGGATCAAAAACCAATGTAAAAGTTGGTGATCGTGTATTTGTATCTGATGAGTCTGATTCCAGTATCCTCTCAACCCCACAAAAAATCTCTGGCAATTCAAGTTCCATATCTTCCTCCTTCGATTCAGTTCTGTACCAAAGTGCAAGAATATTTAGTGGAACCTCCCTTTACACATTTCCAATAAGAAAACAAGGGCGTCATTGGGTTCGCCTCTATTTCTCTCCTTTTGTTCATGAGGGTTACAATTTGAGCACAGCAAAGTTCTCTGTTTCTGCTCAAACTTTCACCCTTCTCAAGGAGTTCAAAATAGAGAGCGGTTACCGCATGAGAGAATACTCTTTGAACATAACTTCGGACAGTCTAGTTCTCACCTTTACTCCTGCCACCAATTCATTTGCTTTTATAAATGCCTTAGAAGTTGTTTCGCTCCCGGACGAGCTCATTCCAGAGGATGCCATAACCATTGGTTCAAAGGAAAATCACCAAAATTTGAGGAAGCGAGCATTAGAGACAGTTGAGAGGGTGAATATGGGTAATGAAACAGTGTCTCCCCAAAATGATACCTTGTGGAGACTCTGGGTTTCTGATGATCCTTATTTGACGCACAATGGTTTTCCCACAAACGTTTCAAAAAAGGAAGCTGTCAAGTACACGACCTGGCCAACGGAGGATATCGCTCCTCCTTCGGTCTATGGCACCGCGACTAAGTTAGATTCGACGAGAGATCTTAGTCTGAATGCCAATCTGACATGGCATTTTGATGTTGATCCTGGTTTTGAGTATCTGGTTCGGTTTCACTTCTGTGACATAGTCAGTGAATCTGCTCAACCTCTCATCCTCAGAGTTTTTATCAATTCTCTGTTTGTTTCTAATAGTCTTGATCTTAGATATCTGACAAAAAATATCTTAGGCACCCCATATTTTATGGATGCCATTATGAGGGTAAGTGATAGCGAGAAGCTAACTGTAAGTGTTGGCCCTAATAATCCAGATGTAACTTACCCAGTTGTCTTTCTCAATGGGCTGGAGATCATGAAAATAAGCAATTCTAGGGGCAGCTTGGACTCTTCTTTTAATAAAAGCTCTAAGATGAAAGTTGGTGTTATAGTGGGTTTGGCTGTTGGACTATTCATTGCTATTGTGTTGGCTGCAGTCTTCTTCCTGCTGTGCAGAAGAAGAAGACTAACACATGCCATCCATTCAAGGACAGATGATGTTATGGTGAATGGAATGGAAAGTAAAGACACCGATAGCACAGCGATGTATCTGCTCAACCTCTCATCCTCAGAGTTTTTATCAATTCTCTGTTTGTTTCTAATAGTCTTGATCTAAGATATCTGACAAAAAATATCTTAGGCACCCCATATTTTATGGATGCCATTATGAGGGTAAGTGATAGCAAGAAGCTAACTGTAAGTGTTGGCCCTAATAATCCAGATGTAACTTACCCAGTTGTCTTTCTCAATGGGTTGGAGATCATGAAAATAAGCAATTCTAGGGGCAGCTTGGACTCTTCTTTTAATAAAAGCTCTAAGATGAAAGTTGGTGTTATAGTGGGTTTGGCTGTTGGACTATTCATTGCTATTGTGTTGGCTGCAGTCTTCTTCCTGCTGTGCAGAAGAAGAAGACTAACACATGCCATCCATTCAAGGACAGATGATGTTATGGTGAATGGAATGGAAAGTAAAGACACCGATAGCACAGCGATGTTTTCTGTCTCCAAAATTGGGTATCGCTTTCCTTTCGTTGCAATTCAAGAGGCTACTGATAATTTCAGTGAGAACCTAATTGTTGGGGTTGGTGGTTTTGGGAAAGTTTACAAAGGAGTTTTAAGGGACAACACAAAAGTGGCAGTTAAGAGAGGAGCTTCTTATTCAAGGCAGGGTCGTGCAGAATTTCGGACAGAAATTGAAATGTTGTCTCAGTTCCGCCACCGCCATTTGGTAGCATTAATTGGATACTGTGATGAGAAAAATGAGATGATCGTTATTTATGAGTACATGGAAAATGGGAGCCTGAAGAACTATCTGTATGGCTCAGATTTTCCAAGCTTAAGTTGGAGGCAAAGGCTTGGAATATGTGTTGGAGCTGCCAAAGGACTTCACTATCTTCACACTGGCTCTACAAAGGCAATTATTCACCGGGATGTTAAATCTGCCAATATACTACTGGATGAGAATTTTATGGCCAAGGTTGCTGATTTTGGGCTGTCAAAAACTGGTCCTGAGATTGATCGAACGCATGTCAGCACCGCGGTCAAAGGCAGCTTTGGGTATCTTGATCCAGAGTACTTAACAAGGCAACAGCTGACGGAGAAGTCAGATGTGTACTCATTTGGGGTGGTGATGTATGAAGTACTTTGTGGAAGACCTGTTATTGATCCATCTCTCCAAAGGGAAAAGGTGAACTTAGTTGAATGGGCACTGAAGTGGCAGAAAGATGGGAGATTGGAGGAAATTGTTGACCCCCTTCTTGCAGGTCAAGTAAAGCCGGATTCATTGAAGAAGTTTGGAGAGATAGCTGCAAAATGCTTGGCAAAACACAGCGTTGATCGACCTACGGTGGGAGATGTGTTGTGGAACTTAGAATATGTGCTTCAGCTCGAAGGAAACGATGGACGATCGGATCACAATCGCAGGCCATCTTTGCAAGCTGATCACCTGGAGAGCAGTGTATCTAATGCAGAATTTAGCATGGGAAGTGCAGGGGACCTTGCTGGTGTCTCAATGAGCAAGGTCTTTGCCCAAATGGTGAAGGAGGAAATGAGGTAGATTGCTCTGAAGCTGTCTTTTTGTTTATGTAACATTGTGCCTGCAAGTGTAAAAGATTATTGAATAATGTAACAGAATCATGTGAGATTCAAGTCCGTTTTCAACTTCTCAGTCGATAAACACAATTTATATGTTTGTAATTTGCTAAATCATGAGAACAACAGGTGAACAATACCAAGTTTTGGTTGCGGGTTTTGAAATGTATCTTTTGATCTTGGGCTTTTGTTGACATGGATAATTTCACTGGATCACAAGCTTTTCTCGCAAACAAACTTCTCTTTTTTTTTCTTTTTTTTTTAGGTATGAATCCCTCAAACAAACTTCATGATATGGGTTTTGGTGCATACAAATGACAACTTGGTTGGGGTGTCACAGTACGCATGTATGAGAGCCCAACTCATTAAGATGTGACAAAGCTTGTTAGGGGAAAATTGTACAAAACTTTTCTATATTTATTCACACTAATGTCATGTTTACTCATTTGTAATTAGCTTATAAGGAATTGAATTGAGGAGTTGGAATCCGAATTCCCAAAGTTGTTTACTAAACTATGTGGAATCATAGTAGGAATGATATTGATTCCTTATAAGTTATTTATTAAATTCTCCTGAATTAGAATTAAAATTAGTTTGATTTCTAAAATGCACTTGTTCTAAATAATTTATTGGGTTAAAGTGGATGACAAATTTGGAATTTTGAAGATATAATGGTTATAAAAAAAAATGAATTCATGATGGGCTAGTTCTTGAGGAATTAAAATACTACATCCCACTCAAGACTCCAATTCCTAAAAAATCAAGAGTTTAATTCCTGATTTTGTATGGGCTGCGCTTGCTTTTTCATTCCTTAATGCGAAGTAAACACATAAGTATTACTTAATCAGAATTAGTAAAGATGCCATAATATTAACCCAAAACTTAAATTTAGTTTAAAATTATTATTTTTTAAATTGTAAATATTTCTCTCCCAATATATATAATTCTTTTTTTTGTTGGAAAACCCAATATATATAATTCAAATAAAAGTAACAAGTAAAATAAAAATAAATTGTAACTTCTTATCAAATTGACTTGATTATTATAAAACCCTTTTATAATTACAGCTTCATAACCTTTTTTTTAATAAAAAAAATATTCAACCGCTTCATATGTTTCATTGACAACAAAAATCTCTTTTTTTTTTTTTTCTCTATTTAAAGAAATAAATATTTTAACTAAATATCCACATCTTCTTTTTTTATTTTTTTCCGCCGAGAAAAACCATATAAATCGTAGCCGTTGCATTGTGCCTCCCAATTTATCCTCCTGAACCCCCATCTGGAGGGAGATAGATAGAGCAAAGGAAGAGTGAGAACCTTGGAAACCCTAGCTATGGAGAAAGAGAGATCGAGCAAACGCCACCGCGAAGATCGAGACAAAGAACACCACAAGCATCGCAGCCGTGACGCCGATGAAAAGCGATCATCAAAGGACTCCGATAACCATCGCCACCACCATCGATCGGACCGCGATTCCAAGCGCGAGCGCTCTCACGAGCCCCGAGACCACAAATCTCGTCGCGAAAGGTCACGCGAGCCGAGCGACGACCGCGATATAGCACGTGACCAGCGGGAGCGGTCCTACGAGCCGAGGGGCGAGAGAGAGGGGAGCCGAGAGAGGTCCAGGCATCGCGAAACGAAGCGCGAGAGGTCGGAAGAGAGAGAGGAATATAGACGTAAGAGGAAAGAGAGGGAGAGGAGTGAGGGTAGAGATGGGGATGTTGTTGATTTGGACGATAAGAAGAGGGTTAGGGTTTCGGAGGAGGAGAGGAAAGATAGGAAGCGATTTGAGGAAGATGGGAAGGAAGTGAATGGAGGTCAGAGACAGAGTAGGAGGTTTGAAGACCGTCGAGTAAAGGAAGAAGAGGATGGTGATTATGTTGGAGTCGTTGAACGCAGCAATGAATTGAATGTGAATGCAAGTGAGGTTAAGAAAGAGGAAGTGAGTGATGACGAGCTTGGTAATTTTCAGGGCGACACCACCACCCCAAATGGGAGTGGTTGGGTGGGTAATGTAAGTTTTATGTTAGCTTTCTTTTGTTCTGCTCTGAATTGCATTTGATAATTATGCTTCTTTGATGCTGAAATTTTGAGCTGATAGGCTTTGAACAACTGTAAAAACATTCCACATTTAAGTGATACTTTAGGTTATCCTCTTAATGGTTGATGAAACTGTAGTGAAGTATCTGAAATTCAATTTGGTTTAACGATATACCACTTTAAATTTCTCTATCTGATTAATATCATAGTTTGAGATATGGAATAGATTTCTTAGGTTCCGACTTCTGATCTCTTTGCACGATGTGATTGTTAGTTATAGTGTTAGATATGGAATTGATTTTTAGGTTCTGACTTCTGATAGCATTACAGTATTACTTTAGGCATCTATAGTATGGAATTGATATCTTCTTGGTTGTATTACATGCTATTTACTCATGAGATTTGAAGTGTTGTATACTAATGATTGATTTGATTGGAAGCTACAGATTTTGAAATGAGGTATTTCTTCCTTAAAAATGTAAGGTGTCTTGTTACACTTTCTGCAAGCCTTTGCTTTGTCTTATAATGTATCTGTATGTCATAAATTATTGTTAGGCTGTTACTGTTAGAAAATAGCTCCCCTTCCTACGTGCTTTGTATCCTTGTAGGCCATGTCTCCATTAGCTGAGGAGTGAGGGCATCTGTGTGAAATTTATTCCTTTTCATGTCTTTTTTGATTCTTCATTTTTGTGTTCCCCTCCACCACAATCAAGTTCCTCTGCGGTATGCATAGTGACCTTGTTTAATTTTCAACACTTACAGGGTGCTGCTCTGGAACCTACTAACGCATCAAGGATTGTGCCTGAGACCTCTTTCGCTCCTAGTCATCCCCTTCCTACCAAGGTATCTTCGATTTATACCACAAATGAAAATAAGGGAGTTAGTATTACCAGATCTCATGAGGTTCATGGAAAATCTAGTACAGATGGAGCATCTTCAACTGCTGGGAGAAGTGGGAATCTGTCTCTTGATGATGTAGAAAAAATTAAGAAAGCTTTACAAAAGCAGAAGGAATTGACTGAGAAGCTGAAGAAGATTCCCCAGGTATTATTTTCACATAAATTTGTTAATGCATCTCACCTCTTTGTGTTTGCCAAAAATTTTATGCACAATATTGTTTCTTAATTACAGTTATTCCTTAGCATACATTTACCATGACTATTCTCATCATGCAGTTGAACAAGGGTGCCAATGCAAGAAAAGATGCTAGCCAGAACTTGGGATCGAAGGAGCTGAAACCACCATCTGTCACTGCTGGAATACTGCATGCACCGGCCCCATCAGGGATAAGATTTGATTCATCAAAACTACCCATTGCACCAGCAGCTTCATCTACAAGTGGCATGATTGCAGAAGCTGGCCTTACAGCTGTTCCCAACCTTGAAGCTGTTAAAAAAGCACAGGAGCTTGCTGCCAGTATGGGGTTTCGCCAGGACCCCCAGTTTGCTCCTCTTATAAACTTGTTTCCAGGACAGGTGGCAACTGATGTTGCTGCCCCTCAGAAGCCTACTAAGGCCCCTGTTCTTCGTCTTGATGCCCTTGGAAGGGAAATAGATGAACTTGGAAATTTAGTGAATGCGACTAAACCAAACAACCTCAGCACTCTAAAGGTTTAGTAGCTATTACCTTTCAGACAATTCCTCTTGTTAGATGGATTTTATTTGTTTGAACTTTAATCTAATGGTTCTAATTTTTTCAGGTCAATATTAACAAACAGAAGAAAGACGCATTCCAAATTCTTAAACCTGAATTGGATGTGGATCCTGAATCAAATCCCTTTTTTGATCCAATGATGGGTATTAATAAAACCAAGATTTTGAGGCCAAAGAGGATGAATTTCCAGTTTGTAGAGGAAGGAAAATGGTCAAGAGATGCTGAGCATATAAAGTTGAAGGTATTTATTGATGTCTCTTTATTCTGTTTTGATCATTTCAGTGAGTTATGTACCTGTCTTTTTTGTTAAATTTTCTCCATTTCCTGTACAGAGTAAATTTGGAGAAGCACAAGCCAAAGAGCAAAAGGCGAAGCAGGCACAGTTGGCAAAGGCAAAGGCGGCACCAGATATTAATCCAAATTTGATAGAGGTGTCAGAGAGAGTTATCACCAAAGAAAAACCAAAGGAACCAATTCCTGAAATTGAGTGGTGGTAAGCTGCTATTTACTTTTTGCATTGCTGTGATTTGCTGAGTGGTTCTTATTTTTTCCCCGCTTGGATTGTGGTGACCGGACCGCAAGGAATAGATGACCTTCAAAGTTTATTGAATATGATAACTGATTATCTTGTTTTTCCCCTTCTCAATGCTCCCCTTCTGTTTCAATGTTGAAAACATGCCATGATCTGTGATTGTAGATGAAACAAAAAGGGTAGACCCAAATCCTAATTTCCATCCATTTTTAAATGATATCTTTAACTAAGATGCCAGAAGTATTGTTTTCATTGTTTTGTTTGCCATTTTTCAATTGCAGATTTGATTTGCATGTTGTTTGGTCCTCTCAGAACTTTTATTTTATGTTAAAGATGTTTGCTAATTATGCTTTGCTAAATTTGTCAGGGATGTGCCCTTATTGCACTCTGGTACTTATAATGAAGTCATTGATGGCGCAGTAGTGGAAAATAAATTAAAGATGGAGAAAATCACTATCTATGTTGAACATCCTCAACCTATCGAGCCCCCTACCGAGCCAGCTCCTCCACCACCTCAACCACTGAAGTTGACCAAGAAGGAGCAGAAAAAACTCCGTACACAGAAACGCCTGGCCAGAGAGAAAGATAGGCAGGAGATGATTAGACAAGGCCTGATCGAACCCCCGAAGCCAAAAGTTAAAATGAGTAATTTGATGAAAGTTCTTGGCTCTGAAGCAACCCAAGATCCAACCAGGCTTGAAAAGGAGATTCGGAGTGCAGCTGCAGAGCGTGAACAAGCTCATATAGACAGGAATATTGCACGAAAGCTCACTCCTGCCGAGCGCCGTGAGAAGAAAGAAAGGAAGCTTTTTGATGACCCAAATAATGTGGAGACCATAGTCTCAGTTTACAGGATCAATGAATTGTCACATCCAAAGGCCCGCTTCAAGATTGATGTTAATGCACGAGAGAACCGGCTGACTGGATCAGCTGTGATCTCAGATGGTATGAATGTAGTGGTTGTTGAAGGTGGCAGCAAATCTATTAAGAGGTATGCTAAGGTTATGCTTAGGCGCATAAACTGGGCTGAAGCTGTAAAAGATGAAGAAGAAGAAGATGACGATGTAAACAATGATAAGCCTGCTAACAAGTGTGTGTTAGTATGGCAAGGAAGTGTTGCCAGACCGAGCTTCAATAGATTTTCTGTTCACGAGTGCATGACTGAAGCTGCTGCCCGGAAGATTTTTGCTGATGCTGGCGTTGCTCATTATTGGGATCTTGCGGTCAATTTTGCGGATGATGAGTAGTAATTGGAGACTGCTTCCGTGGATTTGGGTAAACGAGTATTAGTTCGAAAATTTGCTTTGTGCGATTTGTTAACTGTATGGGATCATTTATGATAGCGTATTGCTCATATAAAGTGAACCACCTATCCATGCGTGTGGCACAAATTAAGTTGCATCAATGAGAACACTTCGCATTTCCAGATGCTGTAATTATGTTGAAACTTGAAAGTGGGTAAGTTTATAATGCCTTTACTTTCTCTGTTGTCGCTGCAAGTATTTTTTTCAATGTGTGGAGTTACTTTAGAAACAACAAATTTCTCTTCGCCTCTTAGTATGAGTAACATAGAACATGGCCAACCGATTTCGTGCCGAATTAATGTTGGACTCTTATATGCTTGTACTAGAATATAGTATCTCCAAGAGGGTTATCTATATATGTTTTGCAGCAGAAAACATGATGCTTGGACCCCATTGCAATAAAGCTAGCATGCATGATTGTTCTATACCACTACAACCAAAAGCAAAAAGACACTTAGTTTCCAAGCTTTTATATAGAACAAGGCAACTTATGTTTCATTCTGTTGTGCAGTCCATTTCATTTGTGGACTAGCATGCCTTAGCAAACTTTCTTGAAAGTGTTTGCCATATCTCCCAACTGGATTTTTGATTTCTGCGAGTGTTCCCTCCGCCGAAGGAGGCTTAACTTCAGCGTAGACTGTGCCATGCAGCTCAGCTCCTACAAGAAAGCCGCGAGCTTTTGAATGAAAATATTCGTAGAAAAGGAAATTTGACCAAAACGGTTGATGCAGATATTCATATTTGCCTCCCTCCATGCTCATTCACATGCCGAGAGATAGGTGATCACGTCCATTTTCTGCTTTGACTTTGGGGCCTAGTCTAAGCTTAAGCCCTTCTTCTCCTTTATTGGTTTGAGTTAGCTTCTAATTCGGTGAGGGATGGGATAGGGTAGCCTATCTATATTTAACTACCAACTTCTAAGTTCTAATCTTCCTCCTGTTTTTCTTACTTCCCTTTTTCAGAAGGTATAGACCATGCTTTGTCAAGCTTACCCATTTTGGTTTCCAGTCCGTCCTTTTTCCAATTTTCTTCTCTCCTTTAAAAACGGTGAAGTGAGGCAATTTGCTTTATATCGCTCATGCATTTCATCATCGCTTTCCCAAGTTTACACTTTTAGGTAACATCCTTGAAAAAATGGGCTAAAGTGTGTTGTATAATATTCCATAATTTGGTGGACTTGGATTTATATGTATCATGCATTTCTCACTACATAACCATAACGCAAAGTGTGTGCGCATCTCTTTGGACTTAAGAAACTCTCCCTTTAAGAGGGTTTTGAATCAATCCAAAACAAATGCCTCTAGAAAGAAATCTAAAGTTAAAAGTTAGCACCACATTGGGAGAGGGGGAAATCGAACTTAAGATCTCGGGTGGTGCAGGGGTAACTGCTCTTAACCGCTTCTTTAAATCATGATTAATTAACCCCAAAAAAGAAGGAAAAGTAAATTGATTTAAAGAGAAGAAAGATGAAAATTGGTAATTGAGTTGTACCATTGTTACACATGTGCCCCCACAGTTGTACTGGTTTATACACAGGAAGCTGGCTGAAACAGTAACCTTCCATCGCCAACGACACCTCATAAATTGTAAGTGGCTTAATGGGGAAGTTTATCTGACTGGATGGCTTAACCTACTAAACATAAAGTGGGCAGATTAAAAAATGGCAGTAGCCCTCAAGACACCTCCAATTATAAATTCTGGACGAAATGCATCACCATCACCATCAACTCAACATGCAGCTTACTTGCTTACGTACATTTTGATCAACACCCAACCTAATTTTCATGGACCCCCAAACTTGTCAACAAGATTAATAAAAACCCTGAAAAATTACAAAACAGAAAAACCATTACGCCACGTGTCACCAGCCCTTATCTCCCACGTGTCCACCGGACTGTTGTTCTTGAGAAGAGAAGACGTATGGAGATGGGATTAGGCGTTGTAGGTCACCTCTCTCTCACCTCCCCCTTTCAAAACAGTAGAAGAAAAAAAAATCAGAAAATTATATAAAAAAATAACAGTAAAATAAGTTAAAACCCCACACACGCCTCACCCATTGCAGTTAGTTATATTTCTATATATTGAAAAACTATCCGCCATAAAACCATAAAGCAACAGCCAAACAGGCACCTCCTTCGCTCGCTTCACACACACACTGAAAGAGATAGGGAGAGAGAGAGAGACCTGAGAGGGCAAACCACTGCGCTAAGCAAAAGCAAAGGCCTCGTCTATCTCTTAACGCATTTTCGAAGAATTTAAGCCCATCCCAAACACGCCGTTACTTAACCACTCTCTCCCTTTTTTTCTCCCTGCACCTCCAACGCTATAAATATCTGGAGGCTTGGAGAGAAAGGAAGCTATACGAATGTCGTCTCGTGTAGCAGACAATCAAATATCGCCGTTCTTCACTACAATGGAGCTCGATGATTTATCACGCGCCTCCCACGGCGCGTCTCCCTCACTCGGCCAGCTCCTCAAGCACGTAGGCGACGTCCGCAAGGAAGCTACTGGTGATGGCGGCGAGACTCCGGCGCACCACGCCCTCGACCTCTCCGACGCCAGCATCGAGCCTCGCTCCTTGCCGTTCGTGCTCTCGTTCACTAATTTGACTTACAGCGTCAAGGTTCGCCGGAAGTTCAGCTTATCCGGGATGTTCTCCGGCGGGAGAAGCCATCTCGGAGCAGCCACGGAGTCAGAGCCGGTCGGCGGAGAGAGCCTGTTCACGAGAACGAAGACGCTGCTCAACGACATCTCAGGAGAAGCTCGGGAAGGCGAGATACTCGCGGTTCTCGGCGCGAGCGGGTCGGGCAAGTCGACGCTTATCGACGCTCTGGCGAATCGGATCGCGAAGGGAAGCTTGAAAGGAACCGTGAGCTTAAACGGAGAGGTCTTGGAATCGCGGCTTCTGAAGGTCATTTCTGCTTATGTCATGCAAGACGATCTCCTCTTCCCGATGCTCACAGTCGAAGAGACGCTCATGTTCGCCGCCGAGTTCCGCCTCCCCCGCGCGCTTTCCAAATCCAAGAAGAAAGCCCGCGTCCAGGCTCTCATCGACCAGCTCGGCCTCCGGAACGCCGCGAAGACGATCATCGGCGACGAAGGCCACCGTGGTGTCTCCGGCGGAGAACGACGCCGTGTCTCGATCGGAATCGACATCATCCACGATCCGATCGTTCTCTTCCTCGACGAGCCGACTTCCGGCCTCGACCCCACCAGCGCCTTCATGGTGGTGAAGGTCCTCCAGAGAATTGCTCAGAGCGGAAGCATTGTCGTGATGTCCGTACACCAGCCGAGTTATCGGATCCTGGGGCTCCTGGACCGGTTGCTCTTCCTGTCTCGGGGCCAAACCGTTTACAGTGGGTCCCCTACGACCTTGCCTTCGTACTTCGCCGAGTTCGGGCACCCGATACCCGAATCCGAGAACCGGACCGAGTTCGCGCTCGATTTGATCCGGGAACTCGAAGGCTCAGCCGGCGGCACTAAAAGTCTAGTGGAGTTCAACAGAACCTGGCAGAGCATGAAACACTCCAACAACGACACGTCGTGCCAAATCGCCTGCGAGCCACGACACTCCGTCTCGCTCCAGGAAGCGATCAGCGCGAGCATTTCCAGAGGGAAGCTGGTATCCGGAGCCACCAACAACAACCCTAGCCCGAACTCGATGGTCCCCACATTCGCGAACCCGTTCTGGATCGAAATGGCGGTGCTCTCTAAGCGTTCGATGAAAAACGCCAGAAGAATGCCGGAGCTTTTCGGCATCAGGCTCGGCGCCGTGATGGTCACCGGCTTCATCTTAGCAACCATGTTCTGGAACCTCGACAATTCCCCCAAAGGCGTCCAGGAGCGGCTCGGCTTCATCGCCTTCGCCATGTCCACCACCTTCTACACCTGCGCCGACGCCCTGCCCGTTTTCCTCCAAGAACGCTACATCTTCATGCGCGAAACTGCCTACAACGCGTACCGGCGATCCTCCTACGTCCTCTCCCACTCCCTAGTGGCGCTGCCGTCGTTGGTGTTTCTGTCAATTGCATTCTCAGCGCTGACGTTTTGGGCTGTGGGGCTGGACGGCGGGCTCTCCGGCTTCTTGTTCTACTTCCTGATAATCTTCGCGTCGTTTTGGGCCGGGAGCTCTTTCGTCACTTTCCTCTCCGGCGTGGTCCCGCACGTGATGCTCGGCTACACGATCGTCGTGGCGATCTTGGCCTACTTTCTGCTCTTCAGCGGCTTCTTCATCACGCGGGACCGAATTCCGGGCTACTGGATTTGGTTCCACTACATGTCGCTGGTGAAGTACCCGTACGAGGGCGTGTTGCAGAACGAGTTTCAGGACCCCACCAAGTGCTTCGTGAGGGGAGTCCAGATTTTCGACAACACACCGCTCGCGTCCGTCCCGGCGGCAATGAAGTTGAAGCTGCTGGATAGCATGAGCCAGACTTTGGGGACGAGGATCACGAGCTCGACGTGCCTGACGACGGGGTCGGATATTTTGGAGCAGCAGGGGGTGACGGATTTGAGTAAGTGGAATTGCCTTTACGTGACTGTGGCGTGGGGTTTCTTGTTCAGGATTTTGTTTTACTTTTCCTTGTTGCTTGGTAGCAAGAACAAGAGGAGGTAAACCCAGAAAGAAAAATAAACGTAAAAAAAAAAAGAAAAAAAAGAGAGTAAAGAGGTAGATATTCCATGCATTGCAGAAGCTCTGTCTAGCTAGCTGTTTGGCGCGGAGGAGCGAGGTCGGTCTCTCTGTGTGAAACTGTGAAATTCTTGTGGCAATTTTAATCCTTTTTTTTACTTCCAAATATTATTTCTTAAATTCGAGTTACGTTGATTTTGAAGGACCATGTGAATTTGGTTTCATGCATATTATTGTACAACTGTTACATGTTATATATGTAGGTATTACTCGTGACAAGTAATAAATAATCTTTTACTTTTAGATCAACCTCTTGTACCTCTTATCAATTATTTTAGAGCATATCTCCAACTAATAAATACTGAATTTGTTTTGTTGTTGGACAAATATCTCCAATAGTGATTGTAACTGATTTTAGAATTATACTTTGCGTATGATTTTGTAGTTTCTTGGAGTGAAATGTCTCTCATTGTTCATACATGATTCAGAACTTAAAGTCAAAATATGCATGTAACAACAAAAACCCACAAAACACCAAAAACGAACATCTCGTCGACACATAGTAATAGCTCATCCCGGGAAAGAACCAAAACCAGAAGAAGACATATGTAGGGGTTAATTGGTTCACCCAACACCACACTCAATCGACCATGTGTATCCTCTTCTTTCTTCCCAAAATCACACAACCAAATTCATCACCTCCTCAATTCAGCCATTTTTCTTTGGCTCTAGTTATTATATATAATGTTATAATAGGTGTTTTGAACTCGGGTGCAAAATGGAGAGCACATCGGCTCTAGTCAACTTGAGAAAGCTCGTGTTATGCTGTGATATAGTGTTATGGGTAAAATTAATTGCACTGCCATATATATTTATATATATATATAATTGGCATATATATATACACTAGTGCATTGAATCATTAATATTGGGTGTTGGGGAGTTTAATTTTCTGCAAGTCTCTTTCAAAAGAACTGCGAGCCACACATTGTGATCAAAAGAACAGGCCTTGGCCAAGAAGAGTTTAATATGGTCTCTGGCAGGCAGCATCTGCTGGCGTCTCGTCTACTTCATTTATATGGCTTGCTCTTTGCTGTTGCTGGTGCCTTTATTATTAACTACTAATTAATTGCGCTTGTTTGACACATAACTTTCGTGAGACTGAAAACTGGGGGCACCCATCACTGATGTATACTTTGCCTTTCAGCCTGGGGACTGGTTTTTGTTAATTGTATGGCTCCCCTTTCACGTGTCACGTTCATCCCTTTAATTACAGGGTTTAATTTAGTATTAGCTCCCCAATACATAAGAGAGACTTTCATGCATAGCAGGAATAACTTTTTCACCTGTCAATATTGCATTATTGGCCGAGATAGCAAAACTAAAATATTTTGTAATTTGCTGGTAAGAAGTAGCTGCTGGATGGTGTTTTAAAAAAGTTCAGGACCTTCAGCTCAGCTGGCTAGTAGGTTTGGGGATTGATATAAATTTGTAGTAAGAGACTTCAATTGCTTGCCAAATTTTTACCTTTTCATTTAATTTACTTTAAATAAAATGTGCCGCATTCATCTCATGCTTTTACTTTTGGATTTATTTTTTTTTATACTATGAGTAGGTTTAGGGATTTAGTGCTGCAATTAAGTGTGAAACAGTGGGATAAAACACAAGAAAAGTATTAGAACAACACTAATCAACTTGGTTGCAAATTGTGCATGTTATGTTTCTTGGTTGCAAACACAAGAAAGAAAGTACTTAAATTTTAATAATTTAATTGAAAAAATGATATCGGATTTAAGTGATTTTTTGTAGAAATGATCTTTGAATGAATATCTACAAAATAGTCGGTTTGGATTAGTGAAATACAAGGCGGAGTGGGTCCTGCAAAGATGTCCCTTGAATAAACTTATTTGAAGGATTCCTCAACGAAAGTTCTCTATATGTATATACTTGTGATTTGTTGTTTTTCTGTCCCTATCCATTATTATGAGACACAAAATTTGGGATTAGGACATGGAAGAGAATGACATCCAAAGATTTGTTGATTCAAATAACTAAAGCGCACATGTTGATTTCTGTCATGTCAAAATCACTAATTAAATCTTTCCTATACCGACAAACTAATAGTTTTCAACGCCAGTGTATTTCCTTCATGATTGCAATTCTCAAATGAATGCAACTCTTTGTTTAATTTACAAGTACGTATGCCATACACAAACAGACATACAAGATTAGGCTCGTTGTATCTATATATATAAATAAAGACATATTGTGTTCTTCTGGTAATCGGGTGTAAAGGAACGGACATGAGCACAAAGGATCGAACATGGGCACAGGTCGACCAGTAGTCGTCTCTCAAGCCGCCGGGCGGCCGGTAGCCCAGCACATGTGTTATCATAAATATAAAACTCTCTCGCAAAAACAGATAAAAACTAACAAAAGAATCATGAAATCCAACTATCCCCGTCTATATATATAAATATATATATGCAAAACTCGTTCGGACTTTTAAAACATTGCCTGCATGCCCTCTTGTAGCATTCTGCATATTCGATATACATCTTAATCCATGTGAACTTAATTAGTACTTGTTTGTTTTCGACATCAGCAGCTCAGATTAATGCTTAGTTGTTAAGGCAAAAACATTGCATGCATGCCCTCTTGTGGCTTTCTCTGACTTAATTATACTTGTTCATTTTAGTGTTTCTCCACTTTCATATTAACTAGCACATGCTCATGATGTATGTATGTATGCCTGCAAGAATTTCCTACCATAAAGCTGGCAAATATGCTCCCCACAATTAAGGAAAGGGTAAAACAAATAGTCCAACTTCGTTAGGTTAACATTTTCTACACAAAAAACTTAACAAAAAAGAAAGTGTGATAGTGGACAACCTTATCCAAGGGTAACTTGACTATAGGACTCAATTAGCTAGGTTAGTACTTTCATGTATTTATAGCCTATGGGGGATGCCAACTACTACCTAAATCATTAAGCCAACTCTCCAGCTAGCTATCATATAGAGGTGGGTTTCACTTGAAATAAGGCCCCTATGGGTTTAAACCAACTCGAAGTCTCTAAGGGAAGACTCTTACAAATTGTTTGACAACATAAGATGCTTATGTTGTCAGACTGTGAATCTGAATCATTAATGAGGTTGAATATGTTATTCAGATTCACAACCTATTAATATAAGCATTTGTCTAGTAACCTATTAATATAAGCATTTGTCTAGTAACGCAAATTTGGCAATAAAACATTACCCTTGATGAGCCATTTTGAAATTAGCCAAGTGATTATTGAATAATTAATCTCCTTAATATATAATTCAACCTTTTTTGTACCCTAAATTTGTGACTTGGCTTGTGCACAAACCCCATTGTGGTTATTGGGTTGGTAATTGGCCCATATATCACCTAACCCCAAGACTAGCCCGAGTGGTTCCCGCCACCCCGGGGCACTAAATTAGAAGTCCCAAAAAAATATTAATAAAATCTAAAAGATTTAAAAGGTCAGAAATTAAAGATTCATTTTTTTTTTTTCTAAAATACATATATATAAAAATAAAAAAAATAAAAAGCAATATCCAAGAGAGATTTGCTTATCCAAACAGAAAGCAGAGATAGCTGCAGAAGCAGAAGCAGCAAAAATGGCGACAATGCCACCATCGTCTCTGCAACTCTCGAACCCATTCCCACTTGCATCTTCATCAACCAAATCCCACGCGCCCAAACCCCTCCTTTCCTTCACCACCCGAGCCACGGACTCCGAAACACCCCCCTCCGAGCCCTCGTCCGAATCTGGGTCCGACCCGGATGACTTCGACAGCAAGCTGAGCCAAGTCCGACTCCGCTACCGCAGCGGAACTGGCAAGAAAGCGGAGCTCCGGAAGACCAAGAAGTCGAAAAGCGGGTCCGGATCCTCATCCGGGTCCAACTTGTACCTTCCACCGGTGCCGCTTAAGGAGCCGGTGTCGGGCGGGTTGAAGGTGGATTTCGGGTTCAGTCCGTACAGCGAAAGGGTGAACGGTCGAATCGCGACTCTGGGATTAACGGCGTTACTGCTGGTGGACCTGGCGACGGGGAAGAGTGTGCTGAAATATCATACGCCGTCAGTTGTGCTGATTCAGGTGTATTTCGTGGCGGCGGTTGCAGCTGTCTATATAAAGTATGAGAAGGAGAAGGTCAGTGTGTGGCCTCAGTCCTCTCCGCCGCCCAAAGATTGACTCTTTCATTAAGCGAATTAATCATATGTGATTAAGTGTTTTTTTTTTATTGAACAAAAAGTGTTTTAATTTTAATTTTTGTAATGCCATCTTTTTGGGTCAAAAATAGTATAGCCCATTCTGTAATTTAACCTTTGAATATAATATTATTTCACTCCTTCAAAATTAAACAAATTAACCTTTAATTTGTAACACTAACAGCCACTTGGTGTTACGACATGTGGATTAGTTACACCGGTAACACTACGTGTCAGTGTTCTTCAGAGACAATATTTCTCTTCACGCAGAAATAATCTTTGAAAAAATAATAAAGCATTGATTAATCTAAGAAGATAACTGGAGAATAATCTTTGGATACAAGAAGAAAACTTTAAAACTTTAAAATTTTCTTATTCTTCTTTCTCTAGTATATTTACCATATTCTTCTATCATCACCCCGAAAAGAAAGAACGAAAATTAGATACTAACTACTGGCCTAAGCCCCAAAACGGGCATATTTCAGGCAAAGCATATTTCCGGGGGAATTCGGATTCTTTTTCATTCAGTGATCTATTTTCTCTAAAGTTACAGGGGAACCCCGAATGCCCAATCGGTCTGGGATGCCCACTCTTTGTTGCGCATTTTAGATTGTGAAGGCAGAGCATGATCTTCATCTTCAACTGCTCTCAACTAGAATAAAATTTGGGTACATACAAATTGGCTATAAAGGTGTCCGTGTCAAAAAATCATTAACAGCGAGATTCGCATCTCCGTGGGACACCGCATCGGTCTCTGGCATGTAAAGACTTGAAGACGTTGGCTGCACATCAAACAAACTCATCTGGTGAAAATACTGTCTAAATACAAAATACCTACTGTAATTGTTACAGCTAAAACTAAGCATCCAACTGCTAATGCTTCATGCCATCTTGTCTTCATGCAAAGAACCGTAGGTTCAACCGTACGTTAATGTCTTTAACATACTTTGTTTCAAACT